GGTATCCAGTTTATTCGCCTGCTAATTGGCTCTCTAATATCAGGTGACCTTAATCAGCCAATCAGCATCATGCTACAGATCTACGCTTGACATCAATATTCTGCAATGATCAATTTGGCAAAATGGTTTAATTTTACTACAAAGGGGGATCAATAAATAAGGTGAATTATCTTATTTCTTAAAAATTAAAAAAGCAAAAATAATTTAAACCACAGAATATTAAAATATAACATCGAGAGACTATTTAAGGTGTTCTGTTCTTTTTTCCCACGCGCGGCGTGAGATTTATAAATAAACTAAAATGGAAGCTCCCTTGAAGGATTGCACCACGCTTGAACAACGTGCAGTTATTCGTTTCTTGAATGCAGAAGGTATTCAAACATCTCAAATATGCCAAAGAATGAAAAAGTATCTATGGTGAGTCTTGTTTGTCTAAAAAAAAAAGCATTTATAAATGGGTTAATGAGTTCAAAAATGGACGAATTACATGTTCCTCAGGTCTCAACGTTCGGCCGGTAAAGTTTTGTTAACAATTTTTTGGGATGTTGATGGACCAATCTGTCTTGATTTTTATCCTCGAAGCAACGTATGAACAGCGACCTTTATTGTGACATTCTTGTAAATAAGCTAAAGCCCGGTATAAGAAACAAAAGAAGAGGAAAGCTTAGTAAAGGTGTTCTCTTCCTTCATGATAATGCAAGGCCGCATACATCATGTAAAACTGTATCTACAATCATTAAATTAGGTTTTGAAGTTTTAGAACATCCTGCATATAGTCCAGACCTAGCCCCCTCTGACTATTTCCTTTTTGGACTACTAAAGAAGGAGTTAAAGGGAAAGCGATTTGACTCAGATAAAGATGTCCAGAAAGTGGTGCGAGATTTTTTTCACACGCTTCCTAAGAGTGCCTATAAAGAGGGTATTTACAAGTTGCCAGAACGATGGAGACGATGTATAGAAGGCCAAGGTGATTATTTTGAATAAATCAAGTCCTAATTTTTAATATAGTTCTTATTTTTTTAAATAAATTATAATTCACCTTATTTATTGATCCCACCTTGTATATTGAGAGCCACCTTTTATGGCTTGATTATTCTTGAATTTTTCCCATTGCATGACTATTGTTCTAGTTTTAAAAATATATATTAATACATAGCACACACACACATAATAACGCACCATCTATATAATACAAATGAAAACACCAAAACGCGAATGTTTCTTTTCACAAATAAATCAAACTTCTACTATCCTTACTGCGATGACAAAATATTGTGAGGGCTTGGCTCATCAGTGGTGAACCCTTCCAGCAGTTTCGCCAATTTAATCTACCAGACTGCTTCTTTAGAGCTCTAATACTGTATTGGATCATTCTGCTTTTATATGCAACACTGAAAGATGGAGTCTTAGAAATGGTATTTAAGCAACTATGGACATAATTAATTGAGAGACTAAATTATTCCTTCCCAGCAATTAGAGTATAGAACAAACTCTCTCTAAAAGACAATACCTTGTTGAAGAGCCATTTTAGGGTGAGGTGTCCTCTTACAAGAGAGCAGCTAATTATTACAAATGGCAATTTTGAAAACTGTCCTTTGTATAGAAGTATTTGCTAGGGGGAATGTCTGTTCATGGAGATTTGACTCTACCAGGTTTATAAACAACCATTTCTTTTTTAATGTAAAATAAATAAGTGATTTTTTTCTTTACTGCCCTAACTGCAATGACAAATTCTATGAGGGCCATGGTCATCAATGGCAAACGTTCTAGCAGTTTCGCCAGTTTAATTTGCCAAACAGCTCAAATACAGTCGAACCTCTTTAATTCAACATCCCAAGGGATCAGAGCTTTCGGTTGAATTAAAGGAAGTGTTGAATTAAGGTTAGATGATTAGCTAATCATCTAACTCACTAAAATAATATTTAAAAAAAATTTCTTTGTAATATAAATTAATGATATTAATTGAAACCATTGTATGTACTTTTTTTGTATTTGTTTTTTTATTTTGATGATTAACTTTTAGTATCAGGGACAAAATGGTAATAATACATATTTTTGAAACATAAATAATTTCAAATAATATTTTATTCTAATTGAAGAATATAGCAGTTGAAAGGAAATAAATATGGAAAATAAAAGAAAATTTAAAATAAATTAAAAAGAAATTTTAAAAATCTTTTATTAAAATTTAAAAATAATATTTAAAAATAATCATGAAGATCTTTTTAAAAATTCTTTATAGATGTATTCCAGATGGTCATTTAAAAAAAAACATGCAAGTCTTTCTTCCTCTGAAATGTCTTTTAAATAACAAAGAGATTTTATTGTATTATAGGCATCCACTGCTGCTGCAGGTGTTATTGATGTTGTGTTTAAATCTTTTATAATAACATGGAAATGGAATATTGAAATAAAATGTTATCATAAACATTGTGGCTACATTTTATGAAGATTTATTTATTTAAAAGGAAATTATTTGTAAATTTTAAAATAACTAAAATATTTCAATCCTGAAAATTAAAAAGAAAATAATATTATTAATTAGCGCACAAAGCCTAAATTCCAGCGTAAAAAAAAAAAAACAATAACATTCGCGACATTGTGCAATGGCACTGCAAAGTGAAACTAAAACTAACAGAAACCAAAAGTGCGCAGGCGCGATTCTATCGCCGCCGCCGATCGTTGCTGCCGTAATACCTTTTTAGCGGTAAAGTTGTATGTAAAAAAACATCCAACTGTCGAAATTCTAATTTTCAAATGGTCGAGCAATCGGAACTGTCGTATTATCGATACTGTCGAATTACAGTTTGTTATTTGATAGGCGGGAGGTCGGGACATCAGAATAGGGTCGAATTATCGCCGAGTGTCGAATTTGAGTGTGTCGAATTAACGAGGTTATACTGTATTGTTTTGGGCCATTTTGCTTTTATATCCAATAATGAAGATTAACTCTGGCAAAGTTTTATCATAAAATAACTATGGACATAAGCTTTGAGGAGACAGTTGAATTGCAAATAAATATTAATACAACAACAACAACAACAACAAAAAGCCTTTATTCAGGGTCACTGACCCTATACAGGATTCACCAGAGGTATGCATAAGAACAAAGCAGTGAGACAAAGGAAATAACGATATATACAAAAGAAAAAAAAAACAAGAAAGAGAAAGAGGGAAGCAAGAAAAACAATAAATATTAATACATGTTCTGAGCATTTCTTTTCAAGCAAGCACATTTCATAAAGACCTTCAGTACTGGTGGAGACAAAACATCCAATAAAATTTAAGAGCTGTATGGTAAACTGGCCAAACCACTGGGAGGGTTCACCACTAACACACAAACCTCCCAATATTTTTATAATTGCAGTTAGGACAGTAGAAAATAATTTTATATGTTCATAGATAAGCCACAATTTGGATTATAAACACAAGGTAATAAGACTAAATCCAAATAAATAAATAATGTGTCGCATTTCGGTAATAGCATTGTTACCATCTTCAGACAAAAGTGCTGAATGGTACTTTTGTAAGTACTTTTGTCTGAAGATGGAAACAACGCTGAAATGTCACACACTATTTATTTATTTGGATTTGGTCTTATTACCTTGTGTTTTATAGGTTCTCTATTAGATGAAACATTTATGTTGTAAATAGTTTACCATTACAAATATAGATGGCAGGTTAGTGCAGCATGTTCAAATTAATGCAAGCTTGATTGGAATTTTGCCTCATATAAGGTAACAAGACCAAATCCAAATAAATAAATAGTGTGTGACTTTTTGGTAACTAAAGTTGTTACTGAAACATTACACACTATTTATTTATTTAGATTTGGTCTTGTTACCTTATCCAGTAGAACCTCCCTTTAGCAGACACCTCTTCACAAAGGACATTTTTCATTTGCAAAATTACCATTTTTACAATTTAGCAACTCTCCAGTAAGAGAACACCTCTCCCTAAAGGACATTTTGGATCTGCAATTAGGTGTCCTTTAAAGGGAGGTTCTACTGTATTTCTAATCTATGATTCAAATTGTACCTTATCAATGAAAATGCATGATAGGGAGCAGAATAACTGTTGTGTCTTGTGGAGCGGGCTTAGTTGATTCTTCCATTCAGCTGGTAGGTTCTAACAATGGCCAGGTGGTGTGTGTTTCTTATCTCCCACCACCTGGCGATTTGTTCTCCCCCAGTTCTGGAGTTTGGACTTTACTCAAATCTTTCTCTCCTTGTCTATCCTTCCATTTAAATACAGACAACCTCCACATCTATCAGGACTTTCGCTGGAAAAAGGCCAAAAATTTGTTCCAAGTTTCACTAGTTCCATATATAGTGAATTAAAACTTCATTTAGGGGGGTCGGTGGAAGGCTGGGTAAACCGTTTGGTTTTCGACCACTAGGACCCGGGTTCGATTCCCGCATTGGGCACTTTTTTCTGTTAAAAAAAAAAAATGCTCCAATGGCCCCCGATTCTTGCAAAAGTCCAACCCCACCAGCGAGTGCAAGTAACCAAACGGGGCTCTGGCATTTGTAAGTGCAAAGTCGAACTGCTTTTCACATGTGTAGATATGTGGTGCACTTACAGTAAAAGCAGTCGCTAACTACCCACCATGATTATCATGGCCTGTACCACGTGTACTAGGGATAAGCAAAAAAAAAAAAAAAACTTTATTTTTATTCAATTGTGAGACTATTTTTAATAGATATTTGATAATCAGCACTACAAATACTTGGGACTACAGATGCAAAAGCTAACTGGGACTACATAAAATTTATTGTGTTCTCAACTAAAAAAAAAAAGAGAGTTTTTTCTTGTTTATCTTTAATTGGTGAGTGTTGGCCTTTACTGACTTTTTGCCCAAGAAAAAAAAATTTGACCAAGGTGTTAAGTATCAACAGTAAACAGAAACATCTATGAATCCAAGATGGAATTAGGTTTTGTAAATGCCAAACTCCAGGTTTTTACACCTATTTAAAATAACTCTACAGGTTTCAGAGTTTTGTCAGAAGTGGGATTCGAACCCACGCCTACAAGAGTAGACTGTGACCTGAACGCAGCGCCTTAGACAGCTTAGCCATCCTAAGGCGCTACATTCAGGTCACAATCTACTCTTGTAGGCGTGGGTTCGAATCCTACTTCTAACAGGTTTCAGAGTATTTGCCCATCCTCACTAGAGTGCAGGCTGAGTTGACCCAGCTCCCTTGAAAGCACCAAATTAACCAATCTTCTTACAAGAGGTCATTTAAGCGAGTTGAAACATACTTCTATTATCATTTTGGTTATTTTTCGTCTTCCAGAAGCTTTTGTCCTTTTTATTGTTATAAGCTATTCTCAGTGTTTTGTCCACAAATCTTGGGTTGCTGATTTGCCAAACTAGCACTCTATCTATTTAGCTGAAATTTTGCATGAGCATGTAATCATGATAAGTTAAAGAAGTGTAAAAGGAAATTTGTTTATTAAAAGAAAATAAAAAAGTCAGCATGTTATAACACACTATAACAGAAAATTCGATGCACTAAGAAATAGTTGGTGTATGTGAAGTACATGTATAGGAGGTTAAAATTTCAGAACAATTAGTTGTTTTATTCCAGAGTTTGATCATCACAAATTGAGAAAGTCAATATATGGTTGAACCCATACTGGCCTGGATGTAGGCTGCCACCCGGCTTGTTATGAACTGATAAAGATTCTGGATGGTCTGCGCGCTGCAGGATTTCTTGCCAAATTGTCTCCAACTGTCGGGCTAAATAGTTAACATTCCAGGATGATTTAAAATCGCTTTCCCATCATGTCCCAGATGTAATCTATGGGTGAGAGATCAGGTGACCTTGCTGACCGTGGAGGAGTTTGGCAAGATTGAAGACAATCCATAGTAACACGTGCCATATGTGGCTGGGCATTATCTTGTTGAAAAATAAGTCCAGGGTGATGTGAGAGGAACAGCAACAAAACAGGCCGTAGAATGTCATCTACGTACCGTTGTGCTGTCAGGATGCCAGGAATGACTACCAATGGGGTCCTGCTATCAATTGAACTGGCACCCCAGACCATAACGCCCTGTTGTGGACCAGTATGGTGTTTGAAAGTAAGGCTAGGACCCACACGCTGCCCAGGATGTCTCCAAACACGTTTGTGATTGTTGTCAGGAGCAGTAAGAAATAGACTCATCACTAAAGACCAATAGCCACATTACTTCGACACAGTTGTCAGGTGATTAGTTGATTTGAACAACCAGCCTCTTACAATCCAACGGCATGATAACTTTCAAACACTGGCATAAGTTTGTAATGAGTATGAATCTTTTGGCGAGGCAGTGATACAGTGAAATCAAGTAGAAATTTTGAAAATCAGCTCTTGCTGCACTGAATATTGAGTCCAGAATACTCATGCTGGATGTACAGTTTAGATGCACTGAGCTCTTGCTTTGAATAAATCAGTCTTCAAATTTCAATCATCTGCATGTTTGGTCAAAACATCTTTGTATACACATTTTCATATAAATAGGACAACTCCTTCTTGGTGTGTCAGATTTTTTTTTGTCATAGAGTGTATTTTATCGTATTTTTAATTGTTGATATAGTGTGTAGATAATAAAAATAATAACATTTACAAAATATAGATGCAAATTTTGGTGATATGGAAACCATGGTCTTCAGGTTGGTAATTCTCAGTTTGCTGAGCTTGCATTGTGGCTTTGTCACCGACCCAAGTCTGTTAGTTTGCGGAGACGATCAATACAGGTCTGTTAGAAAAGTATCCAGCCTTTGGGTGTAGTCTCAAAGTAGTCTCCTTGGAACTCCACACACTTCTCCCAGCGTCATTGTTGGAAACATTCAGAGAAAGCTTCTTTTGTAATTATTTTTAGCTCAGCTGTCATTGACGTCATAATTTCCTCTCTTGTGTCTGAAATTTTTTTCCTTTCAATGGGCTCTTGAGTTTGGGGTGTAGCCAGAAGACGCAGAGAGAAATATCAGGAGAGTAAGGAGCCTGCTGAACACCACAGAAGTCTGTTTTTTAATTAAAAAAAGTTTTAATCAAGTGCAAAGAATGTATTGGAGAATTCTGATGGAGGTGATAATTGTCTGTTGACCATAACCCTGTTCTCTTGCTTTGCCTAGCATCACATGGGCAATGGAGGACATCCCTGTAGTACTCTTTGCAGATAGTTTTATCATGTGGTGCGTACTCGTGGTGTACCACAGGAGTCAAAAGAAAGCAGTCAGTATCACTTTGACTTTGCTGCACACTTGTCGGGCCTTAGTGACTGGGAATGCTTCCACTGTGACACTGATTGCATCATTACTAAAAGCCGTCTGAATCTTCCAAATGGTTTCCACATGGCTGTCATTCAGTCTGGCAAAATTTGATGCAAAAGCACTGCTCCAGTCATTCTGTTATTTTCCTTACACAATGAAAATCTGACAAGAGCACTAAACATTACCTCACACAAATTTTGCTTGCCATCAACTGACGCTATTGACAAGTAGGAATAAAAGGGGTTTGGTGGAAGGATAGTCTAAACCATTGGTTTTTTACCGCTACAACCCAGGATCAAATCCCGCATTGGGCTTTTTTTTTCTAATTAAAAAAAAAGAATTCTCCAATGGCCCCCAATTCTTAAAAGTCCAACCCCACCAGCAGGTGCAAGTAACCAAACAAGGCTTCAGCACATTTGTAAGTGCAAAGTCTAACTTCTTTTCACGTGTGTAGACATTTGGTGCACTTACAGTAAAAGCAGTCGCCAACTTCTACACACCATGATTAGCATGGCCTGTACCACATGTAATATGGATAATATAAAAAAGAAATAAATTAAAGCATGCAAAATTTTTTTAAATAAATAGACTGATATCTTTTAAATAGATTGCATGTTAATGCCTTACGCTTACTTTTAAGGTGGTAAATTTGTAATAGTCTCAAAAATAGCATTCTTGTTTAAATATTCTTTGATTATACACTTAAGAAATAAAACATTAAAGAAAGAATGTTTCTTTTGCACATAAGCAAAAATTTCTACTTTTCTTTCTGTGATGAAAAATCTTAGGAGGGCTTGGCTCATCAGTGGTGAACCCTTCCAGCAGTTCTGTTAATTTAGTCTACCAGACTGCTTCTCTTAGAGCTCTGATACTGTATTGGATCATTCTGCTTATATATGCTACACTGAAGGTGGAATCTTAGAAATATAATTTAAGAAAACTATAGACATAAGCTTTTGATTGGTGCGTAAAAGAAATGTTCGCATTTTAATGTTTCCATTTGTTGTATATAGATGACGCATTATTGTTTTATATTAATTTCTGGGGGTTTTGGTGGAAGGATGGCCTAAATCATTGATTTTCGACCGCTACGACCTGGGTTCGATTCTCGCATTGGGCACTTTTTTTCTGATAAAAAAAAAAAATGCTCCAATGGCCCCCGATTCTTGCAAAAGTCCAACCCCGCCAGCGAGTGCAAGTAACCAAACGGCGCTCTGGCACATTTGTAAGTGCAAATTCGAACTGCTTTTCACATGTGTAAACATGTGGTGCACTTACAGTAAAAGCAGTCACTAACTACCCACCATGATTATCATGGCCTGTACCACATGTACTATGGATAAGTAAAAAAAAAAAAAAATATATATATATATATATATATTAATTTCTGCCTAACTGGCCTTGTTCTTATTGTTTGTGGAAGAGCATTGCTCAATGCAAATATTAATATGTAATTCTACTGTCCTAAAAGCTATGTCCATAGTTTTCTTAAATTCTAATTCTGAAATTCCATCTACAGAGTGTAGCTTATATAAGCAGAATGATCCAATACAGTATTGGAGCTGTAAAGAAGCGGTCTGGTAGATTAAATTGACGAAATTGCTGGGAGGTTTCACCACTGATGAGCCAAGCCCTCCCAATATTTTTTATACCAGTAAGGACAGACACAAACATTTGTGTCTTAATGTTTCCATTTCCAAAATAAGGTTATTCCTACACCAGACTATCATTAGATTGTGTGTAGAGGCTGTTAGAGGAGCCCCTGGGCACGACAGAGCAGCCAGCCTCATCCTGCAGAAAGCTCAAACAGACCCTCTCTAGGCTCCTGCCATTTGTTTGGCCAAGGAAGAACATCTATCTGCAGTTCGTTGTGATAATCTGCCTTCTCATGTTGGTGATGGGCAGGGTGATCAACCTCTATGTGCCCATCTACAACCGTAGTATCGGTGAGTGCCATAGAAGTTTTACATGTTGTTGTTAAGACACAATTTGGATTATAAATTATAAACACAAGGTAATAAGACCAAATCCAAATAAATAGTCTGTGACGTATCGGTAACAGCATTGTTACCACAAGGTAATAAGACCAAATCCAAATAAATAAATAGTGTGACGTTTCGGTGTCAGCATTGTTACCATCTTCAGACAAGTCTTATTACCTTGTGTTTATAATCTATTCAGTACTTTTGTCTGAAGATGGTAACAACGCTGTTACCGAAACATCACATACTATTTATTTATTTGGATTTGGTCTTATTACCTTGTGTTTATAATCTATAATCCAAATTGTGCCTTAGCATTGTTAGCATCTCCAGACACAACTTTTTATTTTGATTTGGTTTTATTACCTTGTGTTTACATGTTGTTGTTTCTTATTCCCTTGTGTAAAGATTACATGAGTTCATGCTCCTTGAGCTGTTTTATGATTAGCAGCTGCTTCTCCCAAAGGTCCTGTTTAGTGCATCTAATGCAAGCCAAAATGTGTTCTGGGGCCGCAGGTGCCAAGCTACATTTTGGGCAAGTGGGATAGATTTTGTTGTTATTTTCTATCTTCAATGGCTTGAGATGGCCTGTTCTAAATCTTGTTAGTGTTGTTTGATGCTGTCTATTTTTGAGGTTCAGAGCTCCTCCTTGATCCACTCCACTCTGTAAGAAGTTTTACTTGAAATATTGAACTATAGACATTTTTTACTAGAAATATAAAATATTTGCAATAAGTTTTTTTATTAGGCATCTAATGGGTAAACTTCTGAGTATGTGTGGTCTTTGTTGTGGGGGCTATCCACAATCATGAGGTATTCAAAGAGAAATATGAAGCTAGAAACAAAAG